AAAATAAGACCCGGTCTTATAGGTTTTTTTGGTCTCATAAATAAACACCAGGGCTTATATTTGGGGGAATGTCACTTTTTTTCCATGTAAGGGAGACTCACTTCTTCTGCTTGCTCGGGGCCCAACAGGGTAGGAGGCTGTGCAAAGTGCTAGTGCTGCCATCATGAGACAGGTAGCGGTGCAGGTGCCCCACATGCCCTGCACTGGCTTACCTTAGGGCCCCCACAGCCAGGCCATCCATGCCCCAACACCTGCTTTGACTTGTAGCTGTGGCACTGGCGTTCTGTTGCAGCCACACGCAAGCAGAAGAAATGGGCCGCTGGACACATGGGTTTCTGCTGGACATGGTGATGCTGCCCCAAGGCAATTGTTGGGGCACGAATGGCCTGGCTGCGGGGGCCCGGAGGTATGCTGGTGGGTGCGTGGGGAAGCCCCCTCTCTCACTTGCCTTGCTGCATCTCGTGTTGGCGGCACTGTGAGCAACTAGACGTAACAGACGGGCAACCAGCTGCACAGGCGCTTAAATAGGGCTTATTTGGGGGGTAGGACTTATATTAGGCACATGTGTAAAAAAATCATGCTAGGGTTTATTTCCAGGATAGCTCTTATTTTCAGAGAAACACAGTACCACAGTCTTCACTGATTGCCACTTTGTTTCTGGGCTGATTGAAACCCCAGAAGGATTTACAGTATATAAGACAACCTCTGCGGTCAGCAGCATCTGAAAAATTGGGTTACGGTGTCCAAACTGGCAAGATGGTGAACAGAGTGTCACAATAAAGTCCAGTTTGAATTGTGACACTGCCATTTTGCCGACTTTGATGCACAGACCCTTGGAAGTGGCTATCCACGGGAGATATGTTTGATGTCAACCAGGAAGAAGGTTCTCTGCGTCGTTTCGGAAGTTGTTCAGCATGTGTATCATGTCGAGCACTTTTATCTTCATCTCTGCATTTCAGAATTTGTGACAGGGCTGCCACGTGAATGGATGCCCGCCGATTAGGTTGCTTGTTACTGACATCGAGGCACCATATTAGTATACCAAATTATGTGAAGTGTTGGGAGTGTTAAGTCTTACCCAATGTCATACTGAGCATTATTTATGACACGGGACAGACTTAACCGGTGCCTGCTAATTATAGCTGAACTCTAATCCCCAGAAGGCCCAGGCAACATAGCTAATAATGAGGGATCCTGAGAGTAATAGGTTTCCAACTCTTTCCCAAAGCATTGGAACCATGAATGTGGGTGTTTGGTGTGCATTTTTATCGTGAGTGCGTGCAGTATGTGAATGAATGAATGAATGAGATTAACTTCTAACTGGAGGAAGATTGCAAGTGCAACTAGTTTTTGCATAATTAGAAAGCATGCATTTGTGTTTCATCCTACCAGATACAACTGATGACCACACATTACTATGGTTGTTGAACCACATCCGTTTGGGAATCCCAGAGCTCATCATCCAGATTCGGCATCACAAGCACACCCGGGTCTATGCATTCTTTGTCACAGCAACTTATGAAAGGTAAGTCCTCTTGGAGGTTGGCAAGAGGGATAGATGGGCAAGTTGGCAGGAGTAGATGGGCAGTAAAGACTCAGATAGCCTAGTAGTTTAACTACTGCTGGAGGAGGCACTAGAAGGCTAATCTAAAGCAGTATTTTTCAACCTTTGAGCATGCTGGCTGGAGAATTCTGGGAGTTGAAGTTCAAACTGGATTTCTTCAAGGGCCGGATCGGCATTGTAGTTCTCCTCTGTGGGCCGGCTGGGAGGATACCTCCTGCAGAATCCTGCCAGCCAAAATGGGGTGGGGGTGGCCGCTGCAGCACTAGGCCAAAAATAGGCCCCGCGAGGCCGCCGTACAAACCATTTTCGGCCTCCACAACCTCCAGCAGCACTCTGCCAACCAAAAATGGGCCATTTCCCCCCCCCCCCTGCACATGTCCCTTAGTGCGTTTTGGCTGGCAGAGGCCTCACGGGCCAGTCCTTTGATATTTCCCGGCTGGCCCCATGGGCCAGATTTAAGCACCCTCCAGATAGGGCCCATGGGCCTTGAGTTTGGCACCCCTGGTCTAAAGAGATGGAGCAAAACCACGAAAATGGATATATTTTCCAGTATTGCATGGTGCAGGCTTATACAGAATCTGACTACAGGTAGTTCTTGACTTACGATCACAGCTGAGCCCAAAATTTCTGTTGCTAAATGAAACATTTGTTGAGTGAATTTTGCCCCTTTTACTATCTTTCTTGCCCAATTTGTTAAGCGTATCCTTGCAGTTGTTAAGTTGGTAACACGGTTGTTAAGTGAATATGGCTTCCCCATTGATTTTTCTTGTCAGAAGGTAGCAAAAGGTGATCACCCGACCTGGGGATACTGCAACTGTCATAAATATGAGTCAGTTGCCGCCTGTCCGAATTTTGATCACGTAACCATGGGAATGTTGCAATGGTCGTAAGTGTGAAAAGTGGCCGTAAGTCCCTTTTTTCAGCGCTGTAGCTTTGAACAGTCATAAATATTACATATTACAGGTAGTCCTTGACTGTTGTTAAGTCAAGGACTACCTGTAATACTCTATTTGGGCCAGGGTTATCTTCTCTAACATCAACAAATCTCAAGGGCCTCAAGAGACCATCTCTGTGCTATCACCTTGTAATCTGAAGAGCTTGGAGTTGAACCCAAGAACTCAGGCAGGCAAAATGTGAGACCTTCAGGAAAGATGGCTGAAAATATTTCTTCCTGGTCTTTTAATGTAGGACAGTGTCAGGCCCAAACCCAGAGACAACACAGCAAAATCCGGTTGAGTTCCACTCTTCATGTGATTATACCTAATGGACAGAATCTTGCCAAACAAAACTATAAAGTAGTCTTCTATTTTAAACCATTCATTTAATGAATATTCAAAATTACAATGACAAAGTGAAAAAGTGGCTTATGATCAGTGCTCACACCTACGAATGTAGCAGCATTCCCATGGTCACATGATCTAATTCTGGTTGCTTGGCAACTAGCATGTATGTATGATAATTGCAGCACCCCAGGGTCATGTGATCACCATTCATTACCTTCCCAACAAGCAAAGTCAATGGGGGAAACCAAAGTTGCTTAACGACCACATGATTCACTTAAGAAATGCAGTGATTTGCTTAACAACCATGGCAAAAAAAAAAACAGTCATCAAATCGGGTGTGACTCACTTAACCATTGACTTTAACAATGGAAATTCTGTTCTCAATTGTGGTTGTAAGTCAAGGACTACCTGTATAAACTTCTAAGTTTATACTTAGAACTTCCGGTTGGGCCGTTTTTTGCCCTCCCCAGGCTTAAGGAAAGCCGTTCGAAGCCTAGAGAGGGCAAAAAACAGGCCCAACGAGTGAACCGGAAGTTCATTTCCAAACTTCCGGTTGGCCCACTGGGCCTGTTTTTCGCCTTCTTCAGGCTCCAAAGACTTTCCTGAAGCCTAGGGAGAGTGAAAACGGCTTTCCCCGGCCTCTGGAGGGCCGGGGTAGGCCGTTTTCACCCTCCCCAGGCTTCAGGGAAGCCTCTGGAGCTTGGGGAGCGCAAAAATCCCCCCTGTGCGAGGGAGTCGCTTGCCTATGTGCAGGTGGGTGGGCATGCGCGATAGCGCGCACACAGTTTTGGCGCATCTTTAGAAAAAGACTAGCCATCACTGTTCTAATCTGTTAGATACAACCTGAGAGATTTTAGCATGTAGCTCTTGAACCTCTTCCCCCCTCTCCATATGGGGCTCTACAGTTTCTCTGAGAAAGCTGTGTGTTGCCAAAACTCTATGTTGTCAATGATCCTCCAGGTGCATCTCCAATCCGGAAAGTGCAGAATGCAACTTACTGTAGGTAATATAATCTGTGACATTCTTGTGGCCTCTCAACGTTCATCTGCTGAGTCCAGTTTCTCCTTAATCAGAGTAAACATAAAATAGTAAAACTACTTGCTGAGTTCCAGAAAGCCATAGGTGTGGATCAGGGGTGGGTTCCTGCCAGTTCTGCACAAATCTACCATACTGTTTAGAACTGATTCCAGCTCCCTTCCCCCATCCGTCAGCACCACGCTTGCCCCACCCACCGCTCACTGATTGGCTGGCTCACCAATCGCCCTGCCCACCTCTAAGAGTCCTATCTAAACCTTAAAGTCTTAAAGCTGTCAAGTTTGAACATCCCTGGGTTTTTTTTTCTAAAGGGTTAGGAGTACAAGGGTCTTGTAACTTGACAGCTTTAAGACTTGCACACTTCAATGCCAGAGTTCCTGAGCCAACATGACTGGAGGAGGAATTCTGG